ATTACAGATAGAGATTGGGGATGATTTTTAAATTGCTTTCTATATGTACTTGAATTCTCAAATTGGAATTCTTGACCTCTTTCCTCATAATTTTTTCGATTTTTTCGAATTTTAAAACATAAAAAAAAATTGAAATATCGTGCAAATTACAAATAAAATTCAATTGTACTAATATTATTAGCTAAATTCGTCACAAGTTTGAACTGCCAGTTGCCTCATGAGTGTGACTCGATATTATAAGTCAAAGAGTTAAAATTAATAATAATGTGAGCAAAGCATAGCCGTCCTTAGAAGCGAAAGGGTTACCAAGTTACACATTTCTAATCCAATTCACAGACTCGCTCAACCGGACTCTCGACGAGGAATGAAGGAAAAGCAGGTGAAAACGCATGATAGAAAAAAGAAAGAGTAGTGTAAAGAGAGTGAAAAAAGGGGATGATAGGGTTGAAGTGCAGACGAAGTCAGAGGGGTAAAGGTTGGTAGATAGGTAGAGTAGGTAGTCGTTGGCGGGACAGAGTGATGCATGGCTATGGGGTCGGTTGCTTCACCGCGAAATGTCGGCGCCGAGCAGCCGCCCTTGCGTTGCTTGCTTGCTTGTCTGCTTGCTTGCTTCCTTGCTTGCTTGCTTGCTTGCCTTTTACATACTCGATGCGCTTCTACCCTCATCCGTTCGCTCTTCTTCGCTCGTATCACTTTGTTTGCCTCTCGTACGCCGCGTTACCTTTCGTTCTCCCGCGCCCGTGCATATCGATCGGCTGCGCCGAAACCTCGTCTTTTCTGACGCGATTACACCCCTTCGAAGATACTTCTTCGTGGATAATGTTCTAATGTTTGTGGCCCGAGATACTTCGATAGATAACCCAAACAACGATGTGTATCATACGAGTTAATCAATATTTGTCTATTCAGCAGTTTTCTTGCCATGATACCTAAGCGATAAGGGATAAAAGAAAATTTTCAACCACTTGTCTTCATTGGGTCAGTAAGTATGAATTTTGACAAAATGGAAATAAATTTTTTCATTTCTTTTGGCAAGCACAAATAAGTCAAAGTAAACAAAAAATTTAGTGAAAGTTAAAATTCAAAAATTTATCATGTCAAAATTTGGTACGAGACGAGAAATAATAAATATTGAAGTTTATATTTTGATGTTTTAATGATCCAATAAAATTTGCTGTAAAAATTCATTTCACGTGAATCTTTGCAAGCCAAAGATGATAAAAGGTATATACGATATAAAGCGATAGAACACCTCGGATGATGAAACAATCGTGGTACAGATAACAAAGGAAATAAATATTTTTCAACAATTTTTCTGCAAACAGTGAATTTAAGTGATATCCGTGAGAGAGGGGTTTCCATTACGTTCGGCGAACTTCAACGGGAGGCAAACAGGTTGCACTGGGATTTCCGTGTTTGCATCGATGCAAATGCGTTTCCTCTCCTCTCTTCTCCCTTCCTTTTCCTTGCATACTACTTCGAAACAAGCTCCGGGGGTTGCACAACCTCGTATCGCTTTGTTTGTCCTAGCTTTGCTTCTGGTGCCACGTTGGCTTTGATACACTTTCCAGCAGGTGCGCGTGGATCGAGAGAGAGCTTCTTATCTTGAACACGTCGTGGATAAGCGTCTTATTGTTCCTCGCGTGTTATCAGCGACGGTTAGGTGAAAGGTTATCGTTCGCACAGCCTCGACGGAAAGTTGAAAATTTTCTCATAAGACGCTCCTTTCCTTTTCTTCGTTGATCTTCCCGGCACGAAATCCCTGACTTTGTTTTAATTGGATTTATCAATAGTAAAGGATGAGCGTTAGATAATTCTGAAAGCGGTATCGACGCGTTATATCGTCTGCGGAAAGCATAAACAGCAATTATCCGGTGAAAAGCAGAAAACGACATTTCGTAACGCGCCAATTCAATTAGTATAACCGGCCGTTCCGATTGCAATCGATGCCCCTAATGGCCCCTAATTAATATTCGCTTTTAATTACGTCCGCGTCGCGACTATTCATATCTCGTCGAGTGTTGAATGTTCTTGCATTATGCTATTTATTGTTCGAACGGATTAGTTGTATCAAAAAACAGAAGGGTTTTAAATTTATTTGAAAATCGTTTTGTTGACAAGGTAAGCGTCGAAACGATCAAGATTTCAGAATGGAAAGATAGAAAAGGAAAAGTGAAATGAAGAAAAAGAAAGACAGGGTTAAACGAGGAATGGCAAAGGTTTCGCGAGTCTGTTAGAAGGGCAATATAGGTGCTCACACGGTGGAATTGTAGCTCGTTTCGGTAGGTTCACGCCCGAAGAACGGGGTTAATGACAAGCCTAGTCTCGAAAGCGTTTCGAAATCGATTCGTGTTCGATGAGAATGCGCTGATTCGAAACGGAAAACTTCCAACTAACGGGAAGGGTTGTGGCCCTTTGAACGACTAGCAGCGGAGGGGGGTGGAAATAGCGTTATTGCGCGACGCCCGAGCTTCCTCCACCCAGAATGTTCAACTCGATGGAAAAATTATTGCTAGCCACGGAATCTGTTCGATTTAATGGGCTTGTTCAATTAGTGGTTATTTGTTTATACGCTTCTCGATCTTTGTGATTTATCGTGAACGAGGGTGGAGTGCAAACAACGTGTGGAGCTTTTGTGAACTGATCCGATGATGGATCAAATTTGCAAACAGATATGGATGACGTCTGAATTTCCATAAAAATCTACCCATAATAAGTAATATTTTATTCAAAATAAAAATTTCAAGAGCATTACTGAGGTAATCAGATATGGACATTAGATAGAAGCAAAACAGATGTGGATGTCGTTTTAATTTCCATAATAATCCACTCATAATAAATAATAATTTATTCAAAATAAAAATTTTAAGGACATTAGTGAAGTAATTAATATATTAAAAATCTTTGGACAATAACGTAGATCGTTTGAGAAGGAAGAAGAAAAACAGATAAGATAAGATAATTTTATTCACGAAGGACAAGCGTTTCACGCGAAAATAGAATGGAATAATTGCGATGGATCGTTTCGTATACACACTGTCAATTTCGCGGTAATTCGCTGTTACCGGATGGATAAGTCGATAAATTAAGTTGAATAACGAGCCCCGTGGCTAGGATAATTGTCAATTAGTATTCAACGATTAACCGTTGATACGAGTACCTCATCGATCGCTCGAAATGAGCCCTTTCTCTTTTTTTTTAAATACCCAATACGTCCCTTGTATTCCTTGTTCTTTCAACAGAAAAACCCCAACGAGAACGCGCGAACCGTGAAATTAGCACGCATTTTTACACGTTTCAATCGACGATCGCGTTGATGAGTAGAGAAATGCCGAGGGTAGTTTACCATTAATCGACGCGAAGGGTGAAAACCGTCGGGAACACGCGAGAAGCTGTTAATCTCAAACTAAAATCCAAAGAGTGATCAATTGTTGCTAACTGTTTTTATTAAAAATTTTGCAGCAAACGCATATTTGTTTCGCTGTCACTGATCGCTTGAAAAATGACGGGGGATTTATTTCGAAAATTTCACTGTTTTATTTGGTATATTCCTCGGTTGTTTAAATTGCGGAACTGGAACTTTTTTTTCGTTCAACAGTTTGTCGTCGAGAGTTTTATTTAAACAACGCGAATAAATATGACTAAATGAAAAATGAAAAGCAGGTGCAATTTTTCCCATGTGTGCCTTGTTATATAGAATTTAGTAACAGTTTCGTTTACTGTTAGTCTTTAAAAAAAAAAATTAATATTTAAAAAATCGCAATTTTCAAGTTAACTTCTTAATTATTGTTTGAGAAATTGGAATGGTGTATCATGAAACACGATTCTAGTTCGAAGCGATAAAGATCTTGATGAAAATCAACTTTCCGATATACAGAGAATTCAATGGCGACCCTTGCGGGTCATCGACACTTGGGTGTTTGCACAGCGAAGAATGGAACGTTCGACGGGAAAACGAGCGAGAAGTGGAAACAGTGTAATTATTTTGAAGTATAAAGCACCTTGGCTGCGGTAACGATTGCTACAAGTAAATTGTTCGATTCAATTTTCATCCCTCGGGATATTTTGTGCCGAAGGCGTCTCGATTCGTCGCGTTTCAATGTACATTCTCGTTGTAACTTGTGAGAAAATTGCTAAAACCTTTCCTTGTTTTCCCAAGTAGATATTTCCATTTGATATTCCCCACATAATTTCATTCTAAGATGGGATATTGCTTATTGAACAATTATCTACTAAAACTAATTAAGATGATTGGTAGTATAATTGGAGGCTTAGCTTATCAATCAATAATCTTGATAAGCCAAGAATTCGATGGAACCATTAACTATCGATCTCGACCGACGATTTTAAGAACGTTTAAACATTTACGTAGCGTCGTCAATTGTGGAACGTTCTTCTTCAAACACTCAACAACTCGAGGTTCTCTATTCACCAGGGAAACACGCGTTTCCACTTTCAATCGTATCCTTCGATCTTTTAAAACTCCAATCACATTCTTCCGCTCTTCGTTGTGCAACGCAAACCCACGATTTCTAATCAACGAAACTTTAAATATCGAAACTTAATGGATATCTCAAGTATTACGACGAGGAAAAATAAATATTTAACTTAGAATCAAACGAGCAAGTATCATGCAAGTATATTTATATAATGTTTCTGCGATGGATCGCATTAAAAAAATGAATATGGAGCAGATGGGTGATAAATTATGGCTGCTGACTGAGCCTCTGACACACAGACGGTTCGCTATTTTTAAGGAAACGCGAAGCTTTTATATTCGTAGCTGCTGGATCTATGAATCACCTTATACAACCTTGCACATGTATTTTCTTTCTCCTGAAATTATTTACATGTTATCATAGCTACCGTAATACACTTTTCATCATCCCTGTCAGAAAGTTCAAGCAAGCTATAATCTTGAAACACTATGGGGTATAAAACGCGAAAGATATTCGACGCTAATACAAACATCGCGTTCTAATCACAATATTATCACTTACCGGACATGACGACGAGGCAGCGGCGGTGGTACGGGGCTGTGAAAGTTCTCCATCATCGAATAGGAATCGTGATCGAGGGTTTTGTGGTCGAGCGCCTCGAGATGATCGAGCCGTAGCAATTCGCGCTCGCGAGGCGAATGGAGTTCACAATGGGCGACGTGAAGCAACGGTCTCAGGGACGAACCGCCTTCGCATCGTTGCTGCCGCGAAGGCGGCCTCGCCACCTGTCGTTCTACACCATCCGACGCGTGTTGCTCCTCGCCCCAAACTTCAAACTCTCCCGCCGCCGAATAATCGCCGAATCCACCGTTACCCTTCACCGTTGCACCCTTCTTGCGACTATTCTCCAAGAGTCCGGCCCACGAGGAGCCTCGCTCCTCCTTCCTCTCACCCCTGACCTCCTTCGATTTATCCTTCTCCTCTTTACGTTTGTACTTGACCAGATATTGCTTTCGCTTGCTCGGCAACGACAACGACAGGCTGCCACGCAAACCGGAACGACGGGCCGTCAGATTTCCAGCGGACGGCCCGCGATCCGCATAGAAATCCTTCCACGAGCGGGTCACCGTACCTTCTTCTTCTCTTCACGATGTCAGCATGTCACGGGGCAACGACGATTAACGATGTATCAATGCCGATACAAATTCATACACGATTATTTGTACTCGTTTATGATTGCTAATTAGAGTTTATCAATGGTGACTCTGAAGGCTCAGTTTGGTTCGCCTGGTCAACCTCTGTGATTTGAAGGTGAATATAATTCGGTGAAGATTCAGAGGAGTATTTTGCAAATGGGAAGGAATTTCAAATGATTTCCGCGGAGTCGATGGTAATCAGTATTTTAAATTTGTTATTGATCTATCAATTTCGGTCTCCACGATTGAAAGTGAATATAACCTTCGTGGGGTTAACAATGATTCAAAGGAATATTTGTTTAGTATAAACGTAGCTGACGGTGATCGAAACGCGTGCTAGTTCAGTGTATTTCACAGTTAAAATTGATCCAATGTATCCTTTTCACTGCACTCTACGACGCGAACACACTGTACAGGAACTCTCGACGAATTCCCATCGGTCACTCTGCACAAACTGGAAAAAATCGTCGTTACTGTTATTTCCCTGGCGGATGACGGATACTATCCTCGGCAACGTTCAGCAACGGTGCACCGCTAAACGTACATTCCCGATGACACGGATAATTTGTGTTTTTGCAGCTCCGTACAAGCGGCTGATTGTCAGCCGGCACACGGGTAAGGGAAGAGTAATTGGGTCAGGGGGTTGTGAACCGAACGCAAATCCGTGCCGTGCCGGTGGAGCGTGAGCAGCGTGTGCTACGAAAATCCCCAGGGGTGCAGGTGAAAGGACACCGTGGTCGCTTTTATCGGTAACCGATTATCCTCGAAAACGGTAACTCAAAGAAACGTATCACGGGATAACGATCGAGACGGAGTGTACTCTCGTTAATCGGTCGAGAGAGGTATATCTCCCGGTCGCGTGACGATCACTCTTGGCGCAAGGGATACTTGCGGCGAACCGTGCACCCGCGTTACGTTCGTCGAGCGTAGTCAGAAGTTACTGGCACCACCGTGTTACTCCCCTCTTCTCTCGCGCACGACCAGTGGAAACGATATTTCGTTTGGCTATCTCTCGAGTACGCTCGAGGGTAACGCACACACACTCCGCGCCGACTGCGGATCAAAGACTGAAGGGCCACGGCGACGCAACGCCCGACACCAAGTGACACTGAACATCCCCACCACTCGCGTGAGCTTTGCGCATGCGCACCGCTCGCCTCGGCCATCCCCTACCACCGCGGCTGAAAAGGGAATCCCCTTGTAAGCGAACGCCGCCACGCGGGTGGTGCGCTCACTATTCTCTGTCACAGCCTCGCGATCCCGTCGTCCGTCTCGTCGCGACGCTGCTGCATCCCCTTGTTTTGCTACCGATCCACCGGGGTGTCGATATCGAGAAGTTCGTTCGTCGCTGCCGCCGCTGCTGTTGCTGTTGGAAGTTTCAGCGACGAAGAAGGGGCTGAAAAGTTGGATCCTTTTTCTTCCTTTTGGGAATCAACTGATTGGACACTTTTGGGATGGATTCGTTTGCTCGCGTGAAAAGAGAAAGTGGGAAGTTTCGTACCGCTATTTCCTTTCTTTTTTTTTTGTGTGGAATTTGTAGTTGTAGTTTACGTGATTAGTGATGGATGGTGCTCTTATAAATTGCTAGGTGTAGATAAAAAGATGAAAATGAGAAGGGTTATTTTCGAATAACGAATTAACGAAGAAAGTTAATAAAGTTGATAATATGTAATAGATATAAGTAGTAACAATGAAATAAATGCAAGTATACCAAGTACTCTGTTTAAACACTTTCTCTAGACACCCTCTAAACTTTCCCCCTCTATCGTCCTTGAAAAGATTCACCCGCATAACTCAGCCTCTCCGACGCACAGATGCACTCTCGGATTCCTATGAAGCTAGACAATTAAACCCACAAACTGCAGGTTAACAGCAATTTAAACAAAATCAATTTGCACGGTAAAACTTGCAGTGAAATTACAAATTGGTAAACGAAAAACGTCAACGCGAACAGTGACAGAGAGAGAGAGGAAAAAAAGAAACGTTTGATTGTAATCGATTTCTACAGAGAATCCTCGTATGTGATTCAATCGACTGTCGTCGTATCGAAATAGCCTGAAAATCCTGATAGAGAAAAAAGAAGCAATCATCAACGCGTCATCACTGAGCCATCGTATCTCCGGAAGTGGATAAAGGAAATTCGTTGAAAACTGGCGAGTCGAATTTCGAGTAGCCGCAACGAGCTTGTACAAAGAGAACTGGAACTCCGTCAGAGTGCCTTAATCATTTACGTGTGTTCTCCGTTTCACGGCAGGAACCGAGCGGTCCTCGTTAAACGCGCGGCCGCTTTACGCGAACGAATTAATTCTCCGCTCGACTCTGTTCCGAGTACAATCGTGGCGAGGAGTTTTCGAAACGTCCTCCTCTCTATGAACGTGGATAGATACACGTATGACGGCATACGTGTAACAGAACCCCTTTTATAGTAGAGCGCGCACGCGTCCTTTCATCCCCTCGCGAATACGTGGAAACATGATCGGTGAATTGCGAGGAAGAAGACTTTTTATTTATGATTCAGGAAGAAGATTCTCAGACGAGTATTCATTTAATTACAGTGGAAATTCGATGACTCGAACCTCAAGGAAAGGGAAAACAATTTCAAGTTATTGAAATGAAGAAAATTTTCGTCTTATAAAGTCTTTCAAGTTATCAAAGTTCCACTGTATAATTATAATCATAATACTTTTATAAAATCCCGTTGAATAAACGAAAAGAAAAAATGTACATAGTATCAATAAATACTTTCGAAAGATCCCTACACAAACACAACGATCCCATAGAGGACTCCCCTTCGATGGACCATCCAGTATATATAAAAGTTGATCGCATTAGTCCAGGAAAATGGTTGAGGGCTGACGTCTGTTCGCATCGAAAGCTTTCCAGCTCGTATAACGAACAGGAGACTATTTTTTCTATTAGCTCGCAGCATCCTCTATTAATTTATTACCCTGGATTGCCCCAGTTATTGCGTACCCTCCCTTCTTCGCGTTTCACCCGTGATTCATGGGACTCGGACGAACGCGGAACGAAGTCTGTTTCGAGGGGGATTAGTGTTACGATTAAATAATCTTTACCTTCGTTTATTCAGAAGTCAATGATTCGCGAATATTTCTGTTCAGAAAGAATAGCAACCACGTGGATGAATCGGGGTTAATCTGGTTGCTTTGAAATGCAAGTGTTTACGTGAACAGTTAAAGGATCGATACCACCTTCGTTGGGCAAGCCATGAATTATAACAACGTTGGGCAAGTAACTGAAAGCGTGCAGTGGGGTAAATAACGAATAACGTTTACGTTGTCGAAAATGACTGGTAAATTGTTTATGTCAAAATCGCTTAGCCGGAGCTTGCCGTGTTTGCCTGTTTTCACGGTTTACTTAGTCGCGTGATAAACAGATTTCCATGGTGTTTCGGCAAACCTTGGCTTTACCTAACATTACGTCGCGTAACATTTTCATATGGTATGAAAATCTCAGAGGATTGAGTTCAATAATCAATTTGATGTTAGAGACACAAAGATAAGGATAAATTTTAGTTTTAGAGAACATGAACCAACCCTGGAAAAACATTTGACTGATCTAAGTGCTTGTCCATAAATCATACAGTCCACTTTCAAATAACAACAACAAAACATATCCTGCAAAGGATAAATAATCTCAACAACTCATCAATCAAACAAGATTGTGAACTAGTAAAACATCAGTAAATGTTCCGAGCATATTTTTCGTTGAAAATGATTGCTGGTACGTCAAGTCCGGCAAAAATCGGCATGGAAATAATCGCCCCGTGCCTCTGAAAACGATCCTTAACGCCGGGAATCGGTTTCGGGTACGCTTTCCCAGCGATTCCATGAAAGCTGAAAAAGCGGAAACGAGCTACCCCCGCGCGACGTCTTAACTACGCGGGGGCGGTTCGCGTTGGAGCTCGAGCGAGTCGCTGGTTAACGGTCCGGAAAGCGAAAGACCATTACGGAGAATCACACGCTCGATGACACTCTTCTACTTAGGAAACCATATTAGGCCGGCCAGCTAGCCGCCTTAAATCGCTGCGCGCTATTCCGAGGTGAAAGGTCAAAGTAGATTTATACGCGGTTACCGAGCCCTTTCCTACTTCGCAAGGGGATGTTTCCCTTCCATTCTTGAGAGAAAAAATTCTGCAGTTTTTGCGGAACAACACAAAAGATGTCCTTTTTTTGCTGTCCCTTAAAACCATTGAATCTCTCTTCGTGTTCGTATTAGAGAAGAACTAATAACTGCTTCAAATAACAGTATTAATTTTCACCAATTTTGCAAAACTTTTCGAATAAACATTATCGCATCGAAAGCCCTAGGAATTGCAGATATCCTTATCGTAATTATTCGTTTCCAGAGAACAGACATCTAAACCAGCTTTCATGCTTCTTTATTTTTCTTCGTTTCGGATCGCTTGATTGTTCGTGTCACGTTCGTTAAAGAATTCGCCGCGTTGCGGTCGGTGCATAAGGGCGTGACTTGTTTTTCACATTCGCGATCATATAATATACGATTTAAAATGCCACCGCAGCATGTTCCGCGATTATGATAATGTAATCGCCGCCATGTATAATTTATAATGTCCTACCTCTCGACTTTTCTCGTTCCTTTCCTCTTGATCGATAAATAAAATAATATACTTTGACCTCTCGATCTTTGATGCCCGTTTTACTGAGTTATTCCGAACGAATATTGGTATTCTATCCTTGGCGAGAATAAAGCGAATGTGTGGCGTGATGAAAGCGGACAAGGAGCGGATGTGTAGCAGACTTTGAAATGTTTTATTCGTTGTGGATTTACTCGACGTATGAAGTACACGTATGAATTGTAAGACGAGTGCAACCCCTTTAAGATAACCCGTATAACAAGATTCGAAGGATCTTCGGATCGAAAGCGTTAAATTATCTCTCGCTTTATCGAAATTGATTCCACGATCGAAATCAGTAATCCCGAAAATTTTCGCTGGCGATGGAAAAAAGGGGACTCGAGATGGTCGACGCTCGCAATAGCAGTGGCATGTCGCGTTGAAACGACGAGCGGCAGCGAGATAGGTCGTCATTACCGGAACCAATTTTCTACGACGAATACTACCTACATCTCGAGTGTCCTCGTCGAGGATTTACCAAGGTAGGGGCGAGAGGGGCGAAGACGAATACACGCCGCTCTTGCGATGGGATACACGGGGCACCACCGCGCTCGAGAAGTCGCTGGAAGAATGGTCGATTTCATATGAATGCATTCCATGCAAATGCGCCGTCGAGCGGGGGGAGGTAAAGAGAGGAACAGTCGGCTGAACCAAGCGAGAGCTTGCTCTCGAGCACAGGGGCAAGAGGGTGGTATGGACGGCTAGAGGGCGAGAGGAAGGGGAGGAGAGTTCGGCACGCCGATGCAGAGATAATTGGGTGAATACATTTCGGCCCTTCGTATCGTGGACATGTATAGGACGTTTCAGAAAAATGTACACCATGTTGTAAAATACCTAAAGTTGTATGAAAAAATTTTAATATCAGACAACAGAGCGAATATGTAACTAATCGTAGACCAATTCTACTTTAATACGGTGCTATATAGAAAGTTTGTAAATCTCCTTTGCACTTCGGTAAAATTTCAACTGAAATTCTCGCCAAATATATTAGAAGGTTAAGTCAATAATTAGGCGTACAAATTAACTCTCTGCCTTTCTTTTCTTTTTTTAATTAAAAATTTATGTTTAAACAGTCTTTTTTATTGCTATCATAATCTCGCGCCACATTTCAAATACACAAAAGCGCGGGAAAGTATTCAAATTTAAAATAGTAATTAAGAAGGTGCGATGCTAAAGGCACGGAAATAATTTGCACGCCTAATAAAAATGAGAGCGAAAATCATCATTATAGATTCTCATTATCGACACCACATGCGAAAGGAACATCGACACGCGGGAACAAGCGACCGAATGTTCCGAGGATCTTGAACGATGAATTAATAAAAAGAAACACCGCTATAAATGACGAACAGCCGAGTGCCGTTTGAGCAAACGAAGCGGACCGTTCAATCACAGAGCAAACGAGGCGTCAACGGCCATCGTCT